GAGTGGAAATTCAACTTTATTGGACTCAATGTTTTTCCATCCATTTCTAACAGGAATCTAATGACTATTTATGCATGTGTTTTTTTCTGTTTTTGTTACTACGTATGAATTCGAATTAACACATGCATCATTCTTAAACCAGTTTTTACATGCACTTAGATTTTTTATTTGACCTTCTATCGTAGGTGACCCACCAATTGTGGATGCCTTTTTATGCTAAATCAGTGGCATGAACCCTCGATTCCTGGGAGGTTAGTAAAAGTTGATCATTTTATGTTGTTTAACATTTTAATTTTTTTTTATAATTTTATTATCATTTTACATAGGGTGGACAAAATTAACTGTATTGATCTGAACTGTCAATTAACTGTACTATATTGGACTGAAAAAATTAAACTGATTTAATTAAAAATTAAATTGAACCATTTTATAGATTAATTTTAAAAAACTGAACCTCTAAAAGTGCAGTTCAGTGCACTGTTAAACTATCTTAAAAATAACTTAAGTTCTTTAATTTTTTACTGTGCTCCCTTTTCTAACCATTTCTTTTTCTGCGCCGCTCAATAGTTGGACTTTTATAGTTCGAATTCAGTTTGTTTGGATCTTAAACCCAAGCATAAAAGTCCTGGCTTGTTACTGTCAATCTGGTGGAAATCGAAAGAGAAGTTCAAAATCTAGTAAGAAATGCTTAGATTAGAAAATAGTCTTCTTTTCTCATGTTTACAAGGTCATCTATGAAACAAAACTAATTGCAATGCTGCAATAGCACGCTATTAAGAACATTGTCTAGAGTTTAATTTTTTAGTTGTCCCAGTTTTAATGCTTTAGCCCGTGCCATTTGCTTCCTACAATTTTCTTTTTTGCATCAATATCTTGATTACACAATATAATTGCTAAATTTATGATGCATGAAGTAGTTTAGTGCAGTTTAAAAAAAATTACAGTCCAGAAACAGTTCAAAAAAGTTCGTTCAATTTAAGGCTTAAAAATAATTCACTTCTCAGAGTATATAACAAAAAAGTCTGTTTCTTATTAGAATTCAGTTTGGGTTTTAGTACAATAAAGTTCGATAAGATAAAAAAAAGTTCAATTCAATTTGTGAAAACTGATTTTCAATTTAGTTCAGTTTAATTTAGATGAATTGTTTTTCAATTTAGTACAATTTTAACAGTTTAGTGTGGTGTAGTTTAATTTGTCCATCCCTAATTTTACAATATCAATGTGTTGGGCAAATTAATGGGGTATTTACCTATCGTTATATTGGTATGATATTATTTATTTTAGATTTAAGCTCTCATAGTTTAATTTTTAATGATCTCTCAAAAAACCTCTCACTAATAAAGATTTTGTGTGTATAAACTTATATTCATTATCTTGTTTGAACGATCTAAAACTTTAATTATATCTTAAGTAACAATCTTCCCCTCAAACATAGCACCATGATTTATTTCTTTTACAGAGCTAGTTCATGAGTATATCCAATTAATGATGGTCCATTGAACTCAGTCACACTCTAGTTATTTGCACCACTGCTCATTATTAACTCACGATAAGGGGACATGTATGCCTTATAATCCTCCATATTACTAAGAAGACTCTCTCCCAAATATGGATCTATTGTTAAGAAGACTTTTCATATAAGAGATCTTATGTCCAAATCCACTTGTCAACCATCATACTCATCAGTTGACCACCAAGTCAAACCAGCAGCTCTGATACCACTTGTTGGGTTCTTGATCATTACACATATATGTTTTCACATTGATATGATATTGTCTACTTTGAATCTAAACTCTTATAATTTTATTTTTTGGTTATCTTTCAAAAGGCCTCTTGTCAATAAAGACTTTGTTGATATATATATTCTTGTTCAACCCCTTATTTAAATGATGTAGGACTTTAATTGTATCACAACATAATGTAATATTAAATTTGATTTTCTTATTATATTCTAACTATTATGAATTACTAGGTCAGCCTAGTTATGAGGGGTTGAGATAGTATGCATAGGATCCTAAATTTGAAATTTAGTGTTATCATTGTAATTCTAATGAATAAAAAAAAAATATTCTAACTATTATTAATACACTCTTTAATTATTGATTGAAGGAAATCTAAAAATATTTTTATTTATTTATTGAAATTACAATAACAACGTCAGAATTCAAATCTAACATCCTATACATTCTAACCCAATCCTCCATTATTATCTAATATTGATTAACTAAAACTTAGCTTTAACTTATAAGTGATTAAAAATATTACAAGATTATTAATTCTCACACGTGATTAATTATATGTGTAAATATATTTTATATATGTCTCACAATTGATTAAATATAAATAAATCTAATTATATAGAATTAATTATAAATAATCGTTAACTATTGCTCACAAATAATAAATTAATAACATCGTGAAATTATTAAAATAGATGTCAAATAATAATTAATATTAACTATATCAATATCATATATTACTAAATTCATTTACTTTTAACCGCTTATAAAACCATAATTAACCAAGCTATTAAGTGAATGTGAGAAGAACAGTTTTTATATATAAGATAATCATTACTCTATTTTAACTATGAAAAAAGAAAAACCTATTATCTGAGGCGACTAAAGAAAACTATGTAAACTGAGGTGACTAAAGAAAGGGTTCGAGAAGTCCAACATATTATCTGAAGAAAAGGTGACTCGAAATTAATTTTTTTGCTTTCTCAATTAAATTGTTTGCCTTTTTCTATTCTTCCTTTATAATATATAGTAAAATTATCTCAGCAACTGACTTACTTTTTAAGATGATTAATTAAGAAAAGTTTTAATAACACTTTGTTTCTCGTGTAACAAATTATTGACGTGATATATAAATAATTATGTAATATAATATGTTATGTGAATGATTAATATATTATATGTCAGATCATGATAAAATATTTAAAATTTAAAAAATTGAATAATAAATAATATAAATTCAAATTTGAGTGAGTACATTTGTAAAAATCGTAAAATATAAGTGAAAAGAATGTAATTAAGGCTTAAGGAAAAAAATATGGTAGTTTTTTTTTTTCCATTTACTTCATTCTAATAATAATTTTAAGAATTTATTTGGAATGCACTTTTGGTAAAAATGATTTTTGTGTTGTTATTTAATACTAACTTTTATAATAATCATTTGAAAATAATATCTAAAAGGTTTCTAATCCGTGGAAAGTATAAAAGGTGAAATATATTTTAATTAGATTATTATAAAACCTTTTTGTCAATGTTTTATATTTTTACTTTTGTTATATGGGGAACAAGTCACAAAAGAAGTAAGAGAAATGTTATAAACATATTATTTTTAATTAGTTAAAATTTATTAAAAAATACAAAAGTTGATAAATTTTACACTCTTTAATGATTTTCTATTAATTCTGTGATTTTCAATTAACTTTAACTAATAAGAGGGTATGTATTAAAATGAGTGTATTTGAAAGAATATTACGATTAATAATCAAGAAATCAAGTAAGAACTAAATCTAAGTAAAGAGGAAACCCAAAAAAAATCCTTCAGGATAGTGGGGATACACGCAGATTGATCAAACAATGAACAGAGTTACAAATTGGACAGAAATATAATATAGTATAACTGGACAAAAATATTTACTCTTTACTACAGAATTAATTATTTTTTATTACCACATATGGACATAAAAATAATGTAACTTGACAATATTCCTAAAACAAATATTTTTATATGAGTGGTGACCAAATCACAAGGACTCACGAGATTTCAAATTTATGGGCTACATTTTATATAATTGGTGATATGATTATTTTAAGAGCTTAATAGTCACTTTATTGAGCAAACATGGAACAGCCTCTCCCTTCTTGGGGGCGCCCACCCTGGTTCTCTCTTGCATTTGACAATCAAATATTCATTCAATTTGATGAGTTTACCCATAGCACAATAAAAAAGGAACATAAAACTGCTTTTTATTTCAAAGTTCTATGTATCACTCTCAAAAGTCCAATATATCAACTGGTTCTTAATAAGGGAAGAAGAATCAAAGTTATGATTTATTTAACAGTTATAATAAGAGCAAATGTCCATATCGGTTTAAAATAGTACAGATGGCAACATTATAATCTCTAAAAACAATGATTTCTTGAGACTATAAATCTGAGACACTTTAGTCTTTTCATATTTTGAGTTATATATATTTTAACAGATTAATTTAGGTCACCAATGATTTTGTTAATAGTATATGATTTATTTTTTTCAGGGGCTAATATATCATGTACTAAAAGTAAAGGAAAAAATCATTAATTAAATATATTAAAATATCTTAAATTTGTGATTTTTAAAGGATTAATGTTCATTTTATTTTTTGTTTGAGGTACTGAAGTGTTTTTCTCTTTCGTGGTGACCAACTTGAGCTTTTAAAAGAAATTACTATCAAAGCCGATTGAAATAGAGATTATATTAAAAAGGATATGTAACTTGGTTGGCTAATATGCGTAAACTGTTGTAATGTTTTTTAACTTCTAGTCCTTTCGTAGTTATTTTTTAATTTATTAGGTTAAAAATTATTTTCCCTTGTAATACTATCACTATCTTGATTCGATGAATATTCATACATAATAAAGATTGAATTCAATTTCTCTCACTAAATTTATTCTTTGGTACACGAGTATAAAATGCCTAACTATTTAACCAATATAAAAGCATTGATTTAAATTGTTGAGGTTAGTAAGGAGTTCCATTCCCATAATTCAAAATATCAGTAGAGCTCTTATCTCAAAAAACCAAAAAAAAATTGCAATAAAGCTCTTAAGCCAAGAAGATGAGGAGGGAATACTTTACAGGCAAAAGATAAATGGGAGACACGGAAACAACGCGCACGTTCTTCTCATATCTTACTTGTTTGTTTCTTTATGACTTTCGGTTTTCTCTCTCTATATTATAACCCTTTTCCCTATGGACAAAATGGTGTCTACCTATTCAAGGAAGAATAAATATGTGTCTTTTTCTTATCTTGTGATCTCCATAAATACTCACATTCCCATGCTCTCTCTCTAGTTAGCACCTCCTTGGTGACACCACAACACAATTAAGGAGATTATTGGGAGAGCCTGCAATTAAGTGTTTCCAAATATGATCATGGTTTGAATTTGAATTTGAATTCCCCTATGTTTTCTCCTATGTAAATCAATTCTTATTGATGACCCTTTTGGTTAAAATATCTTACAAGGTTATGGTTGATGTATAGGGACACCAAAAACCTGCATGGTTGGAAGCTCTTTATGCAGAAAAGTTCTTTGTGGGGTGCTCTCACCATGAGAATGCAAAAAAGAATGAGAAGAACATATGCTGCTTAGATTGTTGTACTAGTATTTGTCCCCACTGTTTGCCATCTCATCGCTTCCATAGGCTTCTTCAGGTTCGCCGTTACGTTTATCATGATGTTGTCAGATTGGAAGATCTTCACAAACTCATAGATTGCTCTAATGTCCAGGTATATAATGTGTTAGAAATAGTGTTGCTAACAAAATACTAACAAAATATTCAAATATTTTTAGTAGGTCCTATCACTAAATTAGTTTCATTAAATGAAATGTGACACTTACAAAATTTGTAATAAATTTCAGTGGATAATTAATAATGAAAATATTAAAATAATGTGATAGAGAATATCGTTAATGTTCTTTGTATCTTTATATGATTAATTACTAGCTAGCTAGTGCACTAAATGAAGCTCATTAATTATTTAGTTCTCCCTAAAAGCAAAACTGAGATACAATATTATTCCAATTCATTGTTTCTTAGTTCTTATAAGACGGGTAATTCAATAATAATATTGTGTGTGGCTTACTACTGATTCAAAACTTTTCAATTCTGTTAGGCTTATACCATCAACAGTGCCAAGGTGGTGTTCATCAAGAAGAGACCACAAAACCGACAATTCAAGGGGTCAGGAAACTACTGCACTTCCTGTGATAGAAGTCTCCAAGAACCTTTTATCCATTGCTCTCTAGGATGCAAGGTACTTACATACAAATTAACAAATTAATATTCCCCCTTTTTGCTTTAGTGAATGACAATGTAAACTCTTTTGCAATTTAACTTATGACTGTGCAACTGATTACATAATAATGAATTAACTGTAATAATCAACAAATTAAGGACATATATATTGTTAAGAGTGATACTTTTTTTTGGGACACTTTAAAGTGTCAACACTTAGTTAAAATACATCAATTTTCATTATTTATCTCTTTTTGTCACATTATAACATCTCTTTTTTATGTTCAATAACATGAAATGTCCATACATTATCTTTCTTTTTCTATTCTTTCTCTTTCTCTCTTTGCATGTTCAATAACATGAGATGTCCTTCCATTATCTTTCATAAGAAAAGTGTTAGAGAATCTTTGATGGGAATGCTTATTAGAATTCTTATTGATAAGATATGTTGCTTTAAAAAAATTTGCATTAGAATAAATGACATAGTAATGAATATCTTAGTTTAGTTATTTAAACAAGCAATGGTTCTTCTAGCTAGGATTCTTAGAATAAAAAACTAGTTTTTATGAGAGAATTGAGCTACATGAGAGAGAAAGTTATATAGTAAGCTCCACAAATTAAAGTTAAAAATCATGATATTATAGAACTCACAAATTTAAAATAAGCAATCCATTTAAGTAACTTATGATTGGAGATATTTTTATAGACAAAACATTCTAATACAATTATTATTAAATAAAGTTTATTAAAAATTACAAAAATTGTAAAGTTTATTAAATAAAAAGTGAGTACCATAACATTTGTTATTTAATTTGATAAATTTCAGTCTATAGCAGAGAATGTGTAATTAGCTTTTCTCTTTTCCATAGTTACCAAAACTTTAAGCTATTAGACACCGTAGCTTAAATAGTAAGGGAAAACCCCACGAATGATTTTATATAACAAACAAATAAAAAAAATAAAAACTATATATGACTTTAGTAATCGACGAGTGATCTAATTTTTTTTCCCATTAAATCAAGACGTGAGAATTAATTAAGTACCAACATAAATTCTTTGATTTTGTGTAGCTAATATGTATGTATATGTGAATATATATAGGTGGATTTTGTGGTGAAACACTACAAGGACCTCTCTCCCTATTTGAGAACATGCAAGTCCTTGCAGCTAAGTCCTGATTTCCTGATCCCACAAGAGAACATGGGTGATGATGAGATGAGTCGTTCAACCATTGTGGACTGTGATGAGCCAATGAGCTCGTCCTCAGGCTCAGAAGCTTGCACAGAGATTGTTAGAAAAAAGCGTAGTGGGTGGAATGTGTGTGCAAGATCAATGACCAACAAGGTTTTGGTTCATCAAGACATGGCTACCAGCATGATCAGTAGAAGGAAAGGCATCCCTCATAGATCTCCTTTGTGTTAATTAGCAACATCAATATAGGTGCATGTAACCCTAACTAGGGGAAAACAAAACATTACTAGTTTACTTTAAAAAAAAAAAAGTTAATTTTTTAATTATTAATAATAGGATATGTTGACTGAAGTGGGATATTCAAAATCATCTCTCACACTCTCGAAATTGAAGTTTTTTAGTTTTAATTAATCACTTGGTCGGAGCTTTTGTTCGGTGGGTTCACGTGGTTGCCAATTCCAAGCAATGGTATCTCTACTACATTCATTCATTTTTTTACTCTATTATTTCAAATATTTTTTGTTTAGAGTCACGAAATTCAAACTTCCTTTAATTTATTTGCTAAAAATACTAATAAAAATATTTTTTGTATGAAAAATATATTTAAACATTCATAAATAGGCAAAAATACTTTTTGGACTTCCATTTTTTTCTTCTAATTGTAAGTTTAAATTAACATTTTAATATATTAATGTTCTTGGTTCAACTAATGCTGCTATTGATCCTCAAGGTCTTGAGTTTAAATCTAAAGCTTGATTAAAAAAATAACTTTGAGAGATAATCTTAATATAGTCAAAATTCTAAGAAAAATTAATTTTCAGAAAAATTAATAGATATTCTTACCAATACTATTGTATCAAAATTAAAATTAAAATTTTAATATTAAATTAGCTTATATTTTTCCTTTTTGGGTGTCATTAGGTGTCTAGCAATTAAAATGTGTTCAAATTTCATGACTCTAATTTCATTTAAAGTTTGGTGTATAACGATTGGAAAAAATATATATTAAATATTTGATGTTTTATTAATTTTAACGATAAAAGTCAGGAGATAAAAAAATAAATATAATTAACATTTTATTTTTAAAATTTACTATCAGCTTGTTATAAATTAAAGGTTTTAAAGTTATTTAAAAATAGTATATTATATTAGCATTAAGATTAAAAACATGAGTTATGATAATAATATTTTTTTTCCAGCGACTTTTTACTTAACACTAATCCTACGATGATTTTGCTAACAATAAATAGTCAAATCCAAATCATGAATAGGAACTAGAGCCGAAAATAAAATTAGAAAAAATTGTAAAATTACTTGATTTTTTAAAAACTAACAGTCCTAGTCTGTCACAACACCAAAAAAAAATACTTTTTGTGACAAATTTTATGTTATTTAATGGTCATACAAAAGAACATTAATATCTTTACCGACAATTAGATTATGGTTGACGTATTTGGGGTCGGTAAAACTATCAATAAAATTCAAAGTGAGTGGCAGTAAAAACTTTTTAAATGGTTAGGAAAAATACAAATTTTTAATAGCAAATGTAGCAACAATTTTAATGGTCACTAAATGTAATTTCATTAAATGATGGATTCTCATATATGTAAAAAAAAATTGTATAGGAATGCAATTGAATTTCATTAGATAAAATAATTTATTTTGATGGCGTATTGATACTCAATTAGTTAAATTCAATTAAATAAGGTTATTTTTAGTCCATGCATTGAAATTGATAAGGGAATCAAATTCAATTTTTCATCATTGATTTTTTTTTTTTAAAAAAAACTACTTTCTTTACTAATATTCTTATCCACCATTTATCATAAAAATAATGAGAATAATAATTTTTTTATATGAGTACTGCATATTTGCAATAATACTAGATGCCCATTTATTTGAGTAATGCAAAATTTGAGTTTATCATGTCCTTGAGATACCAAGGAAACCATTGAAAAGACAAAATGAATAGTCAATGATGTCATGATCCAAAGAAATTACATAATTTCATTTCTAAGATAGTCATATCCCCAAAGAAAGCAAAGTCTCTGATGATTTGGTGTTATTTGCTAAAATGTCTAAAAGGTCTTCATCAATTGCAATTAAATTCTGAAGAGCACCAAATAAACAAATGAATGTCACTGCATACATGTATTCCAATAATTAGTATAAGAAAGGACCAATAGAAAAGGCAACATTGTCTACTCTTGGACTATTGGTTCTCTACTCCTATAAGCAACATAGTCTACCTCCTAATTTCTTTAGATCAAAATTAATGATTCAGTTCTGCATTATACAAGGAGAATAAAAAGGGGAATTCATGAATATATATATATATATATATATATATATATATATAGCAAAGGGAATTCATGAAAAATTATTGGTACACAAAAATGAAAATATTCATTCATGAAAAAAAAAAGAAAAAAACAATAAAAACTCATGCTAGTTTCATTGCCATTGAGGGATCCACTAAACTCTCATGTCTTCCTTTCAAAGATTGGTACCCATTGACTCGTGTGTGCTCCATCGAGGCAGAAGGATAGCCTAGCATATTGAGAGACAATATCATTTTAAGGAATGGACAAAAAGAGAGCAATGCCCATAACTCATGTTCATCTCTTTTTTGTTAGATGAAATCATTAAAATATAGAGACACTAGTAAGACTATAACATATAAAAATCATTTAATTGCATTGCATCCATTACTAGATCATAAAAGAAAAGAGTGGTCATTCTACTTTGTACTTGTTCATGTGCATCATCTATCTAAACAAAATATACAATAACTGCCTCCTTTAACCTATTCATCATAAGGAAATGAAATTATGAGCAGCAGCAGTAACAACATCTTTGTGGAAGTCTATATAATCTATATAGTCTATATTATACAGGTTTCATATTTAAATTAGCTATTTGTTTTCTTATAATATAGGTCTATATAATCTATTTGGGGCTCAACCATATTTGTGATCCTAACCTTACTTATATTTAAATTCCATTATGTTATTGAATTCACTACATCTTAGTGAAAAAGATGCAGAATGTTCGATTCTCTATAGCTACAAGTATAGTTTCTCAGGTTTTTAGTAATGCTCAATGCAAGCAACCACACTAGCTAGTAATTATAATGATCCACCTTAGGCCGTCACATCAACAACCAATATGATAACTAAAATAAAATAAAATATAATAAAGAAAATAGAGCAAAGGTCAGTAATCTTGAAATCATTTTCTGGATTTGGCCGAGATCCATAGCTGTTGGTATATGCTCATAATTTTGTTTTAATTTGAGTTCATGAACTACTATTAGATCATTAGTAGTTTTCTTAGAAATATTAGGTTTCCTATGCTAGAAAATGTCTTAAAAAAATTTTCTAATTCGTGAGTGTTTTGATCTTGTTTGATTGGAAGTGTGCTGAAAATTGTGTTTGTAGCTCATTTGAATTTTAATTTGGAGCCTAAAACCGTGCATGTGACATTCAAATTAGCAAGCATAAAAAGCATGTTACATGTTCATTGAATTTTAACCTAATTTGCTTGTCATTTGGCATCTAATTTTGAATCCGGGTTATATTTCATGTTGAATTGATAAAAAGAATTTCAAGAAGTGAAAGAAACGTTTTCTTGAATATTATCAGTTATTGATTTGTGAAATCTGATATGATATATGCAATCTGGTAATAAAGTGAAAGAAGGTAATTATTAAAATCAATTTGGATTACAACATTTGTTCCATTGTATATTAAATATGATAAATTGTATCTTTGATTGGTGTGTAATTTGAATGATGGAGGCCCATGGGCCAAGGGCCCAATCACTAGGGCCATGGTCAAGAGGATGAATGAAGAATGGGCCAATAATCAAGAAAAATTCATAGTTCTCTTTAGTTGGGTTGTGCACTAAAGCCCATGTAGAATAGGGTTGGTCCATTGGGCTTGTAATTCTTGTTTGTGGGCCTTTTATTTTGGCCAAGTAGTATAGGATTTTGAGCCTTGTAATTTTTGGCCATTTTAGACTTAGGCTTAGTTAAGCACATGTGCCATCTCATTTACATGTAATTTAGCTTGCATTTAAATGACATTTGACCCATGTGACTGGCCAAGTGGAGTGGCACACATGGCATGACTCAAATGCCACTCAAATGCAAGCCAAATCACAAGGAAATGAGCCTTGCACATGGCCGGATCCAAATTTGAATATTTGAATTCAAATTTGGCGCCTAAGGTTAACTTAAACTATACCATGGTTTATTTTAACCTTAGGTTAAGGCTAGCTTGTCCTACACATCTAAAGCACCCCATAATACAAGGGTAAAATAGGAAATACAAAGAAAATAAATCTTATGACTAAAATACCCCAAAATACAAGGGTAAAATTGGAATAAACCAAATAAATCCTACACTACTCAAAATTAGTCATAGCATTGGACCATGTGATGGGTTTCACATGAAGTACCATGGATGGTCCTCCATCAGGATGTAATTTAAGTTCAAATAAAGATGAACTTCCCATAAGATCAAAAATAGAATATGAAACATGACAAGATGTATCTATCAAACAATATATTCCAAAATTGGGGTGCTTTATTAGAACAACTAAGGTAGAAGGCATCCTAAAGAGAGGAAGGATTTCTTCCTTGGGCACCTCCAAGGAAGTAGCACAAGAAGTAGAACTAAATGTAGTCCACTCCTTCTTCACTATATCTTGAAGTTGAGAATCATTTTTCTTTAAAATATTTTGGTCTAGAATCTCTACTTCATGACTAGTGGTAGCACAAGGGTAAGAGTTAAGGTCTCTATGTATGGAGAGAGTATGTTGCAAATGATTTTTAATGATAGAACAACTCTCTTCACACACAAATCCTTTAGGGGTAATATTTTCCTCCTTACTCTTCCCTAAAAGTAATGCCTGTTTTCTTTCTTTTTCTCTTTTTTTTTTCTCAATTTTTCTTTGTTAAAAAGTTTTTCTTCCTTGTCCTTTAATATCCGAATTTCCTCTTCCAAGAGAGCAAGTTGAGCCTCTCTTTCAAGTTTCTCTTTTAATCTTTGTTTAGCTTTTTGCTCTTGCCAAATTTTAAGTGATCTTAATTCATGTGTTACTTTTGACATGTCATTGTAATCACTTGAATTACTATTACTTTGAGGAGTAGAAAATTCTTTCATTATAGGAGAAAGGATTCTTTTTATGAAAGAAGTTTGAAAAACAATTTTTTTATGCAAGGTTAAGACTAAGTACTTGGAGGATTAAGTATACAAATTGAACTTTGGAGGGAGGTGAGCTACTAAGAGCCACTTAAAAACCAAGCCTCTTCAAGTAAAAATTACTAATCCCTTTTGTAGTTAATCTCTACCAAATTCTTTTCAATGAAAATTATTTTTGATATTTGGTGATCTATGATATGCTAGACGAATTGAAA